TCTCTCTCCTCTCTCTCTCTCTCTCTCCCTCCCTCTCTCTCTGTGTATATATATATATGTATCAAAACATACGTTCTTATAATTCTAACAATGTATGTACAATGTCTTGCAGTTGCTTTTGCAGCAGCACAGTTTTAAATACTGTCGTGGTGTTTATTTTTGCAAAAGCGCCGGCTTGAGTGATACTATAACGGAGTTAAAGCAACTGGCTTCGGTTTTAACACTGTTGTTGTGTTCTAACGTTTGTTTTGTGTCCTTTGAAATTTAGTTTTGTGTTGTGACAATTTGAAGAATTGTCACGAAACAATCATAAATCTGGGCACCAAAACTATATAAATGTTCAAAACGTTTTAATGGCGGTTATACAAATTTTGAATAATTTTTATAGGTTTTTATAGAATATGTACAAAAAATTATGAATGTGCATAACAAATTATCAAAAACATCTATCAAATTTTTTACGACTCTTACATTTTTTGATGAATTTCTATACAATTTTTAAAAAATTTTGTAAAAAATCAAAGAATTTTTATACAGATTTTAAAAATTTTTATAAATTTTTGAAGAATTTTGCATGATTTTTACCAAAATGGCGGTCCAGTTTCGGTCCGGTTTCGGTCCGGTTTCATGAAAACTGGACTCCGGTGGTCCGGTTTGAGTCCGGTTTCTATGAAACCGGACCACCGGGGTCCAGTTTTCATGAAACCGGACCGAAACCGGACCGAAACTGGACCGCCATTTTGGTAAAAATCATGCAAAATTCTTCAATTTTTTATAAAATTTCTTCAGAATTTTATCAAAATTCTTCAAAATTTTATACAATTCCTTCAGAATTTTATCAAAATTCTTCAAAATTTTCGAAAAATTCTTAAACTTTTTATAAACAATCTTAAGAACTTTATAGAAATTTATTACACAAATCCATCAACTTTTAAGAAAATGTAGACAGTTGTTAAAAATTCTAGAAAAACTATTATAACAGTTCTATACAAATTTTACAAACTTTGATAATAATCAAAAAAATCATAGAACACATTAAGACTGTGATAAATATTGTCAAGCATTTTCAAAACTATTTAGAAATTCTCAAAACAACCCATAATGCTATGCATGAAACAGTGATTTTGTAAAACAAAATTATGGACAATATACAGAACAGTCTATGTTTTGCAACAGGACATATTGTACAACTAAGAGAATGGTTCTGAAACTCAAAACAATACTTTTCCAACAAACAAACACTAGTACGTTTCCTCTGTGTCTAATCGTCGTTAGCCATCTGTTTGTATACGTATATACCGTCAACCTACCAATACACCAAACCCTCAAACCCCTACACCCCGACCCGAAGCCCTAACCCAGAAACCCCAAGCTCTCAAACCCTTACACCCCAACCTCAAGCCGCAACCCAGCAACCCCAAGCAGTCAAAACCCTACATCCCCATCTCAAGCCCTAACCCAGAAACTGCAAGAAGCCCTGAACCTAGCAACCGCCCAAGCCCTCCAAAACCCCGAACACATCAACACTCAACCTGAAGTCCCGAAGCCGCCCAAAGGCCAAACACCAAAAGCTTTGAACACCGAACCCAAAGACCCCTAATCCAAGAAACCCTACACCCCTAAACCCCTCAAACCATACCCCAAAACCTAGTACCACGGAACCCTAGCCCCCTCGATCCAGAAACCTTGAACACCAAAACCCAATAAATGTATCCCGTAGAACTACCTACACAACCCGGAACCCATTAACACGCAACCCCAAGCCCCTTCAACCTAGTTAGCTTAATCCCCTAAGCCCCCCAGCTCAAACCCCAAAACACGTATTCCAAAGACCTACCTATAGCAAGCCTGTACCAGGGGACCATGCTAACCCAAAGACCTAGCTACCCTGCCTAGCCACCTATCTGGACCTATCTACCTACCTACACTTCTCAAAAACCCCAAACCTCGGGATATGATTTGTTAGTTAGAGTCATCTGAGGTGCCAGCCGTATGTTAGCTAGATGCAAGAAGATCTAAGTAGCAAACAAAATCGACACATACAAGAGCTAGGTACACGGAGTAACTAAGTCACAATCAACAAGCAACAATGAAGACAAACCAAACAAATTCGCAGTAACACACATGGAAAATCAGCTGTTCCGTGCACAAAAACAAAGCGAAAACACGCATTCGTTCAACTTAGCACAGATCTGCTACTTAGAAAAACATATCATTTTCAATGTTCTATGCAAAAAATCTATCAAACTGGATGCTAATCAATAGTAGTTTGTCAAAAACAGTAAGCAGTTTTTAAGCTATATTCAATAGTAGGATATAGGCTATTTCAGATATAACCTATAAAATAACCTATAAAATAACCGGAAGAATAACCTATAGTTTATTTATACAAATAACCTATATAGGTTATTTTTGCCATATAGGATATATGTCCCAAAATAGCCTAACCTGGTCTTAGAGGAATGTCATCCGCTCCACTGTGGACGCACTCGTTAGAAGTGGCGACACCCTGTCCGCGTCGGCCGAGGCCGGAAAGCTCTCTTGGTACGTTAAGATGTGATCGCACGCAGCAGCCACCACGCATGCCACTGAAGAAGTGGCAACGATGACCATTGCACGTTCTTCCCACATGTTGAAAGCAGACACGCATTCACACGTCACGGCAGAAAAAGAGACAAGCACCAAAACCGTGATGCCGTCGACAACGCGCAACGTGTAAGTTCGAAAAAAAAAACAGTCCCAGTACTGCCTCGGGCCGCCCACCAACAACACCGGGGGATCAAAGCCCACCGCCAACCCTGGCGTATGCAGAGGACGACAACGAAGCTGCTGCCCCGGATGACAGCCAACTGCCTGTCGAACCGCAGGCGCGCGAACGCTCCTGGGAGAAGGTGGAGCGCCACCTCACAGAAATCCGCAGAATTGCGGAACAACACCAAACCACCGATGCTGCAGCAAACATCGTACACAATGCAAATCAAGCACTCATCCACCTACTAGTCGACACACCCACAGCCGAAGCCCTCGAAAGTGACCACCCAGTGACAGACTCCAGCAGGGGAAACCAGCCGCCGCCGACAAATACAGCCGCAAGCTCGCGCAGCAGGGGGAGCAACGACATCACAACACTCTGCCGACAGCAAGCATACACTGCAGCAGCCGCACTCATCATCATAGCAAGACAACAGCTAGCCGATGAAGGGAGATGTGTCACTTACGGGATGCTCGAGCCACACATAGCTGCTCTCATGTCGTGGATGCAGACACTCCCCATGGATGACATCGCCATGAATATCCAGCTGCCGCCAATCCTCACGCCGCTGCGGGGGATCCTGAACAACGTGCTCGATCACACCGCAGGACCGACTGATTGGGCGACACTGGTGGCAGTCGGGGAGGCAATGCAAGCCCTCTGTGCCGGCGGGACGATCGTTCACCCCGCCAATGTGGTGGGGATCGCAGATGGCGGCACTGAAAACCCACTGGTGGAGCGGGGACGACATGATCCTGCATGGGGGCAAGCCCTTTCGCTCTTGCGCCACCTCCACGAGTCCGTCGATGCATGGCCGGGAGATAGTCTTCCACAACTCCAGGAAGCGGCAATGCAACTGGTACGACAAATCTCCGCTCGCATTCCAGAGAATTCCCGTGGCCTCCCGACTGGGGGAAATGAATGGTGGGAGACAGAACGTCACCATGGCCTGGGGGATGCATACTACGGACTGGTCATGGACCCACCAAGCCCCCGGGAACGACATCCACGGCGAGCACGGAGCCCTGATGAAGGGGAACATGAAGACGATATGTCTAATGATAGTCACCGACGCCGGCGGCTCCTGGCGATGCACATCCACGACCACCTCTGAGGGGATGTGAGTGATGAGAACGGCTAGGTCAGCACGAAAAACCCCGGTGAAACATTTTCCTGTACTGTACTCTTGTGATTGCCACGCATGTTGTTTTCAGGTTGCTGTGCACCGGGGGAACGGAGAGTGCTGACAGGTGCAAAGCACCATCAGACGCATATGAACCGATAGAGGGAGAGAGGACAACTTTGTACTATATTCTATTGTCCTGCATAATTAGTAGACTGTCTTGTGCACTCACGGCATCCCCTGCCTTCTACACCAAACAAGATACACTTCACCTCGGAGAGTGTGTAGATCTAGGCCAGAGACAGCTGTGCGGACCTCAGTTTTTTCTGTCTAACGAGAGTACACGTCCTGTTCCAGTTTGATTCCCTTTAGATTTAATGTTGTTTCAGTCCCGAGTCCGACTGCGATGCTGATGAAGTAGTATACAAGGGGGAAAATACCCCACGCATAGCCAGGATCATGACACGCACTACTCTGAGTATGCCGGGGAATATGCAAGGTATGTGATATGTAATGATGTGGGCATTGATACTTGTTGAGACCTTTGTTTCCACAAGCACAGACCCCGGGGAACTGTAGTGAACCACGATGTCAGATGTGATTGGTGACTAACCCCGGTCGGATATGTTCTAAATATTACAGCTGTATTAAATGTAATTTGATCTCAGTGGCGAACACAGTCTAGAATTAGCCGGGGGAAAACCATCACAAAATCTTCACGCCCCTCCAAAAGCCCCACAAACATCGGGGGGGCCTTTTAAGGCCGAGGGGTTTCGCACTCCCCTCATGCCCCGCGGAAGACGAGCGAGAGCGAGAGACAGAGAAAGAGAAAGAGATAACTAGACAGAGAGAGAGCGAGAGAGGGAGGGAGAGGAAAACGAAAGACCGAAAGACAGGGACAGGAAGAATTCAGAGGCAGGTCTGTCGAAGGTCAGGTTTTGTGGTTTTAGGGGTTACGGCTTAGGGTTGGGGTTTTAGGCTTCAGGGCCTAGCAGGAGTATACCATAATTCCCATAGTTTAGGGTCCTTGGGGTAATGCAGGATTTTGTCCATCAGCAGTAAGAAGCCACAAAAATGTAGGGTTTGGTAGTTTATGGTATTCCTCAAGCAAAGAGTTTCGGAGAGGTCGGGGAACACGGAGATGGACGACCTGGGAAAGTTGTGGGTTAGGATGATCGACAATTCCGGCAAGCATCTCGCAGTGCACGGTTTCCCAGAATTCCGGGAGGATCCAAAGCTGTTTGGATCCTTTAATGGTGGTTCCTATAAAATACACCTGAGTAGTATAGGGCCCCAACTTAGGGCATCTACTTTCTGGATCCTCCCGGGGGTCTGGGTTAGGAGGCAGCGCTTAGATGTTAGGCATTCAGGTTTTACCTGGGACCCCCAACCCTAAACCCTAACCCACCACCTCCATTCAGGAGCCTTGGGGCTGTATGAAATGTTGCTTCGGGGGAGCCCTGGTAGGGCCCTGGGTTTAGGTTTACGTTTGCTTTAGGGTTTGTGGTATCTCTACCCAGAGGCTCCATAGTGGGTTTTTTGTTTGAGATTACCTTTATAGAATCCTATAGAGGAACCCCAAAAAGGAACTACTATGGAGCCTTAGGGTAAACCCTAAACCCTAAACCCTGGACTTGGGACAGAGGTTTTTGGGCGCAGGCTCGCAGACGCAGGGTTTCGCGAGTTGAGAGTTAAGCGTGAAGACTGCGGGGATGAAAGTTACTTGGAGGATCATGGTAGGAAGCTTTAAGGGTCCCTTTAAAGGGATCTATAGGGATTCTATAAGGGTATTGGGTTTAGGGAATTATAGGGATTCTATAAGGGTATAGGGTTTAGGGAATTGTACTTGGAGGTTCATGGGTAAGTATAAGTAGGGTTGTACGTAGGGTAACATTAGGCGACTTATAACCCCACATATACCTACCCAGGAACCTCCAAGTAGTTCAGGTTCAGGGCCCAGGGTTTCTTTAGCCTTTGTTTTTTTGTCTCGGGGTTTCAGTTTCGGGTACGGGCTTCACCCTCTTTTTTCGACCTGAGGACTGTAATTACAGCTCAGGGGCGAGGCGTGGCATGAAATTCGCGGTTTGGGGGGGGCTTTAGTGTTGAAAGTCCGGTGTCATGAGGGACTCCGGTGTTCTTTTCTGAAAATCGGTATTTCGATAGCAACCCGTGCCCTATAGACTCTAAGGCTTAACTCGAAGGAGCGACAAGTCTGCAAACTTGAGGTACATGCAGGCCCGTGATGCCAAGATGAGCTTCAAGGACAGAGGAGCCGGAGGACATGCATCTAGGTCGCATTGAAACACATACTCACCGTTTGGAATCTATATTGTCGGGTATATTTGAAGAGGGACGGAAAGCTGCAGTCTTGCAAAGGGCGGAAATCTCGGGTTCACAAATGGGACCGGCTGGAAAAAGGAGCTAGAACCATGATTCAGAGCAGAGTGATCAGCAGTCCCATTCCCGACAAAGCCCCTCGAGACACCCAAGCTCATACCTGAAAATAACAGAAGCTTACCACTGAAAAAGACCCTGAACTAAGAAACCGCGTTTGCCGTAAACCTTCAACCTTAAATCCTAAACGCCGCCGGAGGTTTGGATACATCTGCGACAGTTCCGAAGTTGCGAGCAGAGAAGCGTCGGTGGGCCAAGTGAGCTGGCGGACGTCAAGGAGCACACCGAGGAATGCTCGGAGTGAGCCAGTCTTCATGGCTTAGTGTGTAGGCTTATTGGAGTTCGTTGTTTTTTGAGGTCCTATCATCTGGGGGTGAAGACAGGGTGTTCCTGAGATAGTAGTTCAGCTGTAACATCCGAAATAGAAACCCACGGGCTATTGTGTTTCGTTCTGAAGCATGCTGTGACAGCTGACTTTGCCTCTGAAAGGGGGCTTAGTGGCTTAGTGCATGCTGAGACATGAAGGATCCTGGGACTTAGTCAGGGGTCTTGCCCTTTGGGGCCAGTTTACCGTGCAGGACATCTGAGTCACTTTTCTTGAAGGCTCCGGGAAGTGGTAAGCCGTTTAAGCATGCTACTATCCAGGCCTTCGGGACATTTTGGATTGTCCCTTGTTGTGTCTAAGAGGTTGTTATTTACGATGATTGTTCAAAGGCTTTCGTAGGCAAAACTAGATTACGGGTTTTGGCCATTAGGCCCTAAACCCTAAACCCAAACTAGTGAATCCCAAATTTTGGAGCCTTCCCGAGTCCCAATCGTCCTTGAAGCAGTGTGGTTTTCAACAGAATGCCCTCACTGTTCCGATTCTGCCGCGTGTGCGTTGAGTGGATGCAGGGCCGTGGGTGGAAAGTCTGGCTAGAATCCCCTGGAACTCGAACTTCCCATTTCCAGGAATTTAGATTCAGGGTTTGTGGTTTTCGGATTTGGAGTTTAGGGTTTATGGTTTGTAAAACATTTCGGATATGGCTGATATACCCACTTCTGGAATACTACACACCAGTGACGCTATCTGAAAATGCAAAGCCCAGAACCTGTGAAAGAATCTCCGAGGATCCTCCAACGGGAGGCTGCAGAAAGTTATGTTACGTGTGTGGTTGTCAAAATCAAGGTCCCTTTTTGGGGTCCCTATGACAATACGGCACTTAATCTTTCAGTATGGTACGCCCTGGCGGCGTCAGTATGGTTGGGTACCCAAAACGGGGACCATAATTTTGACAACTACCCATATAGGTTTATTATTACGGTATCCTTTTGTTCTGGGTTATGGTTCTTTCAGGATCTAGAACTCCTAGGTAGGGCTCTAGGGCATTACATGTTTTCCTTATTGGGCTTAAGAGGATCTTACCTACTAATATTTTTCAATTGCTTCAAAAGCCCCACCTAGATTCCCATGAGGGTTTAGAAGCCATAGGACGGGAGCATCGAGGCACTCTGTGGGATTAGGGTTCCGGGTTTAGGTTTAGGGCTTAAGGTTTGGGACTTTAGGGGTTGAGGTGTTCAGGGTTTAAGGGCTTAGGGTTTAGGTTTCATTGTGATTGAAGCTTGAGATGTTTAGGGCCAAGGGGCTTAAGGTTTAGGTTTTAGTGTTTGAACTACTATCGGAGCTGGTTTGAAGCTGAGGGTTTGGCATTCCAAAGAAAACCGAATGAAGCGGAGGTTTGGAACGAATTAGTCCATACGATTCCAGTACACATTGCCGCGAGGGACCTCTACTCTACTTAATATGTAGTTAGCCTAGTAGTGGAGTAGGTAACCAACCTTGTTGGGTTAGTATAGTCCCTATATAATCCCCCTATAACCAAAAAGGTTAACCTTTAGTTCCCCATGATACCCGACAAGTAGGTTAGAGTAGCCCGCAGAGATTCAACGGGCTCGTGTTGCCCCACATCCGCGTTTCTGCTACACCCTAAGGCTCCATGTGCCCATATAGTATAAACTTAAGCTTCAAAGGGGTCACCATATGAGTACCTTAAGGCCCTAAACCCTAAACCCTAAGCCCCTGAACCCTAATATGGGTACATGGAGCCTTAGGGACAGCGCCTGAAGGCCAAAGACCGTGGTACTTCCGCGAGTCCATGATTTTTCCATGCCGGCCCAACCATACCCAAAGTCTCCATGAGGTCGAGACGCGGCTATGCTTTGGCATGGACCTGTAGGGTGTATACTGTGAAATTAAGAATGTAAGGACTGTAGGGCAGCAACCTGCAGACGGCAAAGGCACATGGAGCCTTGGGGGCCTGCTCTTCATCATGCCCGGCTTATGTCAGCGCTTGAAGGATCATGGGACTTAGTAACTAGGGTTATAATTAAGGTAACTATACTTATAACTACTTATAACCCCAATTAAGGTACTTATTACCTAAATTATTGAGTCCCTGATCCTCCAAGCATAGTTTTCACGCGTGCCGAAGCGGCACGAAGGTTGCAGGAGTACAGGAACTGAGGTCGGAGGCCCTAAAATGTAGGATCCTTATTAAAACTATGTCCTTACGAAGCTCCCCTGAGTTGTCGAGTGAGAGCAGTGTCTTTCAATATTGTTCAGTAGATAAGCAGAAAGTTTGAGTTGAAGTTTGGGTGCAGGTTAACTCTACGGGTCATACTTTCACGCTTCTGAACTCCGCAGTGCGATGGCACATCTGCTCGTTCGGAGCTGACTGCAGAATTCGCAGTTTCTGCCCCCTTCATACTCAATACGTAGTTGCCACGGAAGGATGGGGGAAAATGCGCCGGAGATCCTATTCCATGAACCTCCCATGATTACCCTAGTGAGTCAGAGGCTCCAGGACCCTTTCAACGAAGGACTCTACTACATAGAGGGCTTGAATAATTACCAATACTGTTTTGTGGTTGCCTCATGATGATTGTAGTGTAATATACCCCAAACCCAATGCTGACTATCAGGGGATCCTCACAACACGATCTACAGCACATTTTTTAGATACCGCCCCCACTCAGCAACAGTCATGGGTGCAGTACTCAAGCTCAAGGCATACCTGGGCCCTAAAGAAGCTTCAGTATAATGCTTGAGTAAGAGGTTGCGGAGCTTTTTGGGTGCCCGTTGTTCTTGAGAACGAGTTTGGGAGTGACGTAGACCTTGGGTACGGCCCCCACTCAGCAATAGTTGAATAATATTCATAATATAGATATAGTAGGACCTTGAAAGCAGCCCAATTATAGACTCTTACTGTATGGGGGCCGTACCTAATGTAGACCCCTTGATGAACAACGGGTTTGGGGTTTTAGGGTTTAGGGTTTCCCCCACTGGTAAAAGGCCCCAAACCGAAGGCCTCAAACCCTAAACCCTAAAAACACCCTAAAAACCCTAAACCCTGAAAACCCTAAACCCTAAAAGCCCTAAACCCTAAAAACCCTAAAAGCCTTAAAAGCCCTAAAAACACTAAAAACCCTAAAACCCTAAACCCTAAAGCTTATGAAAGGCAGGCTCCCTTGTTCAGGTTCCTCTGCAAGCTAAACTGGCCCTGAAAGTTTCTGCAGAAGGCCGGTGGTGCTGAAAACCTAAAAACCCTAAACCCGTAACCCCCAAACCCCTAAACCCAAACCCCAAAAACCCCAAACCCCTAAACCCTTAAACACCTAAACCCCAAAGCCCCCAAGCCCTCAACCCTAAACCCGAAACCCCGAAACCTAGCCCTCATAAGGCTCGGTGCAACTTGAACGGGAGGGTTCCAGACTATCTCCGCAAGGGACTGGTCGTCATAATTCCACATGTTGTGGGTCTTGTCGTGCTGTGGCTATTTTGGGGCCATAGTGGGATACCGTCACTAGTTATTCAGAGCTCTGTAGCAGAGTGCTCCCCCCGAACACCCCCCACCCCCCCTCCCCCGCTTAGAGTGTTCCCAGAGACTCCAAGATCCCTTGATTAAGGAATATTCCTTAAATTATAGTAGGATCCCTAATATGATTTAAGGAATATTCCTGAATTAAGGGATATTGGAGTCTCTGGGTTCACGGGTTCAAGCGCCAACTTCTTAGTCGTTCATTATGTCACTTGAAGTCGAAGTAGACCACATCCCACAGAGTCCTAGGTACCTATATAGTAGAAGCCAGAAAGTTGGAACATAATTGTCCTCATACCCTTAAGGTAAAGTATAAGAGGTCCTAGCACTAATCCTCCTAAAGCCATGTTTCAACTTTCTGGCTTCTACTATATAGTGTTGGTTCTATAGTAGGAATTACTAGTATGGTTTGGGAAGATATTCCCCAGACAGGTACCTAGGACGGTTTGAGCATTTCCACGATCCAAGGATGAGGGTGCAGCACACCTTCTGCGAGTTTCGCAGCTGCAAGATGTCCAGTTGCATTTGTTTTTTTCTCAGAGTTGTGTACCACTCTTGAGTGCAGTCTTGCACGCCCATATCCTAATGGTCCAAGTGGCTATAATTAATTAATGCACTCCTGGGAAGACCAGTCTACAAAACGATTATCCTACGCCCATTGTGGGATCCTGTGCACACTGAGGGTAGTTAGGTGGTACCCCTGATCCGTCGGAGTGCTTTGCTTTGTAAGAACTTTCCTCATGAGCAAGAACTGTATGAGTTTTGAGAAGTTGAAGTTTTTGATGCGTTCATGAGTTTAGGGTTCCATCCTTTTTGACCCTTCACTAATCACAGGTTCATGTCGGTCTCGGAGATGTAGGGCATCTCATGCTTGTCTTTAGTAGCACAAGCAAGACTGTAGGGCTTCACTGTGCATGTGCGGCTGTGAATACATGCTGCTTTGGCTGAACCCGCTTCGGATCTCATGCGCGACTTCCTCCCATGGCCGCGCTAGGAATGTTTACTCGAGCAGTGGATCTAGCCAGAAACCCTAAACCCTATACCCTCGGATGTTTTTACTTGTTTCTCTACTGCGCTGTGAGGTGGTCTTGCTGCGATTTGTGTTTTTGCCGTTTCTTTCGATGCAACCCTTGCAGATCATTCAGACATCATAACATTCAGTTTGATGTTTTGCCTGTGGCGCGGCGCGTGCCTCCTACTTACTGCATGCAATTTCCATAGGTCGTCTCGATGTGTTGCTATGGTGATGACAAGATTGATCCCTTCCATCGTTGCAGGTTTGTTATCTGCGTGGGGTAAGTTAAAGCAAGTTGAAGACCGATGTTGGCATGTTAGCATCTTTGTTGGTCGTATGCTGCTACCGCTGTAATCTCTGATTCTGCCAAGAATTCACCGTTCCTGAGATTCCTATCTCGTACATTTATGTGTTCGTCTTTTTTGCGCTGGATTTGCTCTAAAGTCTAAAGGCTGCTAGTCTAGCTGCGGTCACAAGTTGTTTCTCGTGTGCTGGGTGTTCGTCGCTGTAATTACAAATAATGCAGTTTCCTTCGAGTTGTCTCTATCATGTTTAACAGGCAGCCCAAACAATAGTCTAGTTGTGAAGGCCCTAGAGTCCTGCTGAGCTTGTGAAGACGCTCCAGGTACCCAGAGCCTGCAAAAGTCTTCAGTTGCACAACACTTTAAACTAGCGGACGGCCTGAATACGAATTACGGTACAATTCATGAGATCACGGGTTTTGGAGTTCCTTGGTATATTAGGTATAGGCGGCTTTCTCTGTTGTCCCGGACAATATCAGCAACCCTAAACCCTAAACCCCTAAACCCTAAACCCCTCAGCCCATTCCGTGTGACCAGGCTTGCTGCGCGAGACAGTTCAGATTGCCGCTGGACTGGCAAGTGCGGCACTTCCACCTGGAGTTCAGATTCTGTTATTCTAACCGTAAAACCTACCTATAGTCTCCATTGTAGTTCTTTTTTTGGTTAACCAATTTTATGGTTAGGATCCTATAATAGAGTTAAAGTAACTACAATGGAGACTATAGGTAGGCCCTAAGCCTTGCCCTGCTTGGAGCTTCGGAGGGCTTGGGAAGAAGGTAGGGGCTAAAAGTAGGATTTCAGTCTGGATAGAGCTCCACTTTCATAGGGGGGGGTGTCCGAAAACACACAGGCGCCCAGAGAAAAGCCTACATCACCCTTTGCAGATCTTTTACTGAGCCCACAGTGATCCTTCAGACAACCCTGAACCCTAAATCGACCCATGTGTTTGAGGTGTAGATTGTACTAATGGGTTGAGGGAGTGGGTCTTGCTTGAAGTATGTTGTTGGGTGTCGATAGAACTCCTTAGCCAGAGTGGTGAGCGCATTTTGGGGGTGTTATTTCGTCGACTACTACTATTAGATCTCGAGGCCCTGTGTTATATGGCTTGGAGTGCGTCATGTAGGGTCTACAATCTGGTCACAACCGTAAGTCGCAGCAGACCTCTACAGACGCAGAGTGGACTCAGAGTGTGAAGAAACTGGATTTGGGGCTTCCCTATACCTTCACACGGGTCTCTGTATGGATGATGATGATGATGATGAGGTGTGTGTGTGTGTGTGTGTGTTTGTCCGATGATGTGTGTGTGTGTGTGTGTGTGTGCGCTTTCGTTAGTGTTGTGTGTGCGTGTGTCCTTTGCTTGTTTCAGACATAGCGCCGCTAATAACTACAAATCCTAAATAGTAGAATATTATGTAGATTTCTTGTTGTGAAGACTTCTAATAAAGAGTAGAAGTATGTAGAGCTCTTGTAGTACTGAAGACTTCTAAAGTGGAGCCCCATGGATAGTTTGCAGTGCAACTCCAAAGCGACGAATCCGTAGCCCATCTATCGGTCGTTGAGGCTGGACTTGGGGAGGAATCGGGCTCCTTGGCGTCTAAAGTTGGCCCAAAGCCCACAATCTCCTCAGGATTTTTTTAAGTTTTGTTCATATGAAACCCAAGAGAATATATTATGGTTCTAAGGGGTGTAGAAGCCTACTGTGGGCTAAGGAAAGGTGTAATGAGGACTCTGTAAAGTCAGGAAACAAGGTAGCCGTAAATCACAAACAGGGTTTACGGCTGAAGGTGCAGATAAGTTGTAGGGATGTAGCCAAAGGCAATAGACTTCTAAACCCTAAGCCCCTAAACCCCTAAACCCTAAACCCCTGAACCCTAAACCCTAAAGCGCAATCAGCCCCAAACCTGCAGGCCCACCAGGACTTTCTGGCATCTTGCCGGACCTCTGACCGCTTCTAACATTGGGCTTTGCAAACTCCTCCCGGACCCTAAGGAACCTACAAGTTCTGGGCTCCCTAGCATGATTTGTTTTTATCTAAGTCCTTAAAAAGGTAGGTCATGTGGGGTTAAGGCTTAATTTGGGCTTTATAGATTAGATCTATTTTTGAAAGTTTGAACTTTTTGGGACCCGGTTGTTGAAACCAGAAACTACCCTACGCCCTAAACCAAAAACCCCAGTGTAGCTAGTCAGGCTGCGCCATTGAATATAGTCTGGACTCTAGACCTTGAAGTAGGCCTGAAGTACGGTATCCTCATTTTAGAGACCACCGGTTAAACTCGCACAAACCCCTTTTAGCCCTACAGGCCACCGAAAGTCGCCACCTTCCTAAGCCCAATAGTAGAAGCCCAAAAGTTGGAAACCCAATAGCTTCAATCCTTAAGAGTAATGCATAGGGAATCCCAGCACCATCTGTCCTGAATCCGGTTTCCAACTTTCTGGTATTCACTATAAACCCTAAACCCTTATGTACTTTGAGGTATCCGATGGGACCATGCAGACACTGGCCGAGCTACTGGAGTCCTCCGAAGGCCCTTCCAGAGGTTTAGGGGTTTAGGGTTAAGGGGGATTTGAGGGCGTGAAGTTCAGTCTTCAGGGGTTAGGTCTAGGGTTGTTTTTTTGTTTCAGGGTTAAGGGTTCAGTGTCTAGGTCTAGGTTTCCGCGTCTAGGGGTGGTTGGGTTGAAGATTTGGATCAGGGTGTGAGGTTTACGTGGTAACTTGTGGCTCCACTTGCCTATCATATGAAGCGCAACACTGCCCAATATGTCAGAAACCATAACGCCATAGCTTACTAATTGCGAGGTCTAAATTTTCGCACAGGTCCATGGCTATGCCGACAATGGCCATTGAATAGGTTCTAGTCGCGAAGCTATCCGGTATGTAATGGAGGTCCATAGGCCCAGACCCAGCCTACGCAATAGGGTTTACGATTTAGGGTTTCGGGGTCAGTTTGTTGGAGGCATGAAGCCCTAGTCAGCCCTTGACAAGCTCTCAACCCTAAACCCTCAACCCTAAACCCTAAACTCTAAACCCTCAACCCTAAACTCTAAACCCTCAACCCTAAACCCTAAACTCTAAACCCTCAACCCTAAACCCTAAACCCTCAACCCTAAATCCTAAACCCTAAACAGTCAGAGCTTCACGCACGCGACAGGGGCCCCGTTCCACGGTGGAGACCTGGGTCTGGGCACCAATGATGCCCCTAAGCTGCAACACTCTAAGGCTCCATGTACCCATATGGTACATACTTAAGCCTCAAAGGGGTACCTATATAGGTACTTTAAGGCCCAAGTATGTACTATATGGGTACATGGAGCCTTAGGGACATGTCCCGGGAAGAAAGAGCATCAATGTAAAGTGTTGGAGCGTCCTTTTATGTCTAATCCTCACGGCCCAAATGGCAACAAGACTACTACAGGGGCCTTAATAATTCGAATAGGGTTTTGGGGTATAGTTATAGTATTACAATAATACGGAACCTCAAAATAGAAATGGTAAGTATTTAGGCTCCTACACTACCCCATTCTCTGCAAGCCAACCCTTCAAGCCACAACTCGAACACCTTTGTTCTGCACAAGCCTGAATTCCAAGTCGTACCTTTAATATAGGGGCCTCAATAGTTACCAATACTGTTTTGCGGGTTCCTTATTATATTCAAAGTATAATGGGCATCCCATTCTGATTGTTAAGGCCCCTACGTTACCCCACCTTCGACACAGTACAAGCTGCCCCCGTTTTACAGGAGCCACTTCCTACATAGATGCTGAATTGCAGTCCTTTTCGATTGGAAAGCCTGTTTGGCTTCCAGGGTCCTGCAGTACTACAACAAGTATATAAGGTGACCGAAACAGGAAGTCATGTAGAAGCCGAGAAGCCTGGATGGTTACCAATACTATTCCTTTGCGCTATTTGTTGCACCCTAGACCGCCCTAAACCCTAAACCCTTGTCGAGTCGTGCACAGCAGTATAAAAGACCACGAAGATCCCTTTCAAATTACGAGCGCCCGAATTGTGTAGGATCCTTGCAGATCCCTGTGTCATAGGAGGCCCAAAGGGGTTTAGTAGGGATTAGGGCTCCCATAATAGGGTTCATAGTAAGAAATCCTTACCCCAAGAATCTTAACCCCCCCCCCTTTAGGCCTCCCGTCACTGTGGAGATGCATGGTTTCTGCCTTTTGGTTCAGGGGGTGGCAGCTCCTGGCTTCAGGATCTACTTGAAGGATCATGGGGCTTAATAGCTTAGGGCTATATTTAAGGTAACCATACTTATAATTGCTTAGAACCCCAATTAAGGTGCTTATAACCTAACTTACTAAGTCCCCTGATCCTTCAAGTAGATGTTGATTGGCAGCGGTTTCATCTCAGGTAGAGGTTTGGGGTGTGCGAATATTTTCGACCTGTGGGCAATCTGTTTAGTAGTCTTTTAAAGGTTTTTACAAGAGTTACTACAGGTTTGAGGGTTTGGGTTTGATGTTCAGACTTCGGATGAAGCCCTCAAGACTTTACATGTCGAGTTTGGGTCGGCAATAGATGTAAGACTCGCTGGTGCTTAGCAGGGAATGGGGGAATGGATCCCTATAGTGGTCCCTATACAATCCCCAATAATAGTCTCCATAGTCCATTCCCCCATTCCCTACTAAGCTTCGGGGTACTTAGAAATATATTTTTATTTTTTGGTTGTTATAAGCCCGAAGAAACAGCTAAAATACAATTTTTGCTAGGGTTCTAAGTTCAGTATAGAATAATAGTCTCCATAGTTCATTCCCCCATTCCCTACTAAGATCCAGACAGAAGATGAACCTGGGCTGTGAAGTGCCATACTTTAATACTTTTTAACTTAAACAAACCATTATGAAATAAAAGTGTATACTGTTTTCTCCATGGTCACTTCAAAGCCCAGGAACCCAATGGTTTTGCAAGGACAGTTTGTTTCTAATGTAGGAACCTGGTTGAGAAACCTCGGGCCTTTATTTTTGGGGAATTAGGCCCCAGGGTTTCTTAATCAGGTTCCTATATTAGTTTACCTGAAGGGGCTGATGAACTAGTATTTTGTGAAGTTTGGGCTGCAGGTCTGACCTGTGGTAGTCACGGGTCCATTAGAAAAAACTCACACTAAGGCTCCATAGTAGTTCCTTTTTGGGGTTCATATATAGATTTCTATAAGGTAATCCCAAAAAGGAACCACTATGGAGCCTCTGGCTAAACCCTAAATGCTGAAAAAGGTCTCCGACGTTGGCTTCTTGGCGTTCTGCGCTGCGCTGCGTCCTGGACGGGGGACAGTGGGCTCTGTGAACCTGACTAGCAGCTTCTACTGCAGGAAGGTGGGGGCTTAGTAAGTTAGGGTTATAATTAAGGTTCCTTAAAGGGATCTATAGGGTTCCTTAAAGGGATCTATATGGAGTTTAGGGTTTAGGGTCTACTTGGGAGGATCAGGGGACTTAGTAAGTTAGGTTATAAGTGCCTTAATTGGGGTTATAAGTAATTATAAGTGTGGTTACCTTAATTATAACCCTAAGTTACTTAGTCCCATGATCCTTAAAGTGGGGTGATGCCTTGGATTTCAGCGGCGCTTCGTGCACTTTGAACTGTCCACTGGGCAACTTTTGAGGGTAGTCGCTTCCAAAGACGAAGGCTTACATCCCAGTTAAGCCCTAAACCCTGCACTATTGGTTGATAAAGCTTAGCTATGATCAAATCGTGCATCATGGTGGAGGTAATATAGATAATATAGGGGTTGGAATATAAAGCAATATTATCCCTTGCGTTTGTAGTTATGCCATCCCAATACCCCATTCTAATTGTCAAGGCCGCTCTATCACCAGACAATTTTGCATATTCGCATCGCCGCTCACTTCAGGTCTAGTGGCGCACAAAATGCTTTGGATATTGTTGTAGTAGAGTATAGCATACCATAGCACAGTGTAAAATAGCATTAGACAGCACAGTATAGTACGATATAGTATAATGCATTTTAGTCAACTTTAGCATATAGCATGCTTATCTATGTATGTAGAGTAAAGAATATTCGTTGACATTTTTTGTAAATAGATAACGGTCTACATATAACGCACATTATGTTGCATTCGACATGGTTTGCGTACCGCATCTTTTATAATCTACATGATGTACGTTATGCATCATCTAAAAGTGCTGTATGTGATATGTGACATATAAACATATATACGGAATATAACTCATAAAACTGTAGCTGCTGTTGATGTAATTTGCAAGTTCACTTCCAGTGTGAGTCATATTTTGGCTTAATGTACTATATTTCATAATCTGCTGATCGAAACATGATTGTAGACTAGACGAGACAAAACATAGTATATCATATGATGGTTTAGCATCTATTCTATGTGAAAACACAGTGAAACTTATTGTAACACAATACCATACAAAAGATTTCCCGGCACATATTATAACATAGCATAGGACACCGTAGTATCATTTAATAGGGCCGAATTAGAATGAAGTTCGATATGACGTGACTTGATACGAAATGAAATGCATACTATACTGCTTCAAGAACAAACAGCATAGTATAGTGGTATTCCGTAATTCCGTATAGCATAACATAATATGGCATAGTGTAGTATGCTAGTAATGCAATGCGATGCGTAGCATGATGCAACAGAGTTTAGGCTAACACAACACCATGCGATGTAATGTAACATATTGTCATTCTATGTAAGATAAAATCGCTTGATATAACATCAGTCCAAGTGAGTATAACACAACGTAGTATATTATAATACCATATTGTACTTTATGATGTGCTATAATATGTTGCTTTGGGGTTTAGGGTTTAGGTTTTGGTTTGTATGTTTGGTCGCTACAACGTTTGACACTGCTGGCGCTGGGCTATTGAAGAAGTAGTCGAGGTATGGTTTGCATGTGTTGTCTGAGCTCGATTCTGATTCGCACTGATTTCAGGCAATCGATTGACCTCGGCGTCCGTGACTTGCATCGCAGCTGCGATGGAACGGTGGGGTCAAGCGCATGACATTGACCTTCCGCTCTCCGGCCTGGACATTACCTACAACGATGCGTCTGCGACTAGGCTCAAGTCGCATACTCAAGCTCAGTATTAGCATATAAAGTCCGCGGCCTCATCAGTACCCCTTTATGGTAGGATCCTATTCTCAGGTCCGAAAATAAGGTACCCCTAATCTCGGAAACTCCCATGTAAAGTCCTAAGCCTCAGAAGCCTACGAATTGAAGCATCAACCTTCGTACAGCGCTTCACGCGGAGGGTCCCACAACAGGGTTCGTCCTTGGAATACAAAGTTCACACCCGTTCGGCTCCATCTGAGGGTCTTTCATGTTTCGAGAAGCTTCTGTCTGTATTTGGCTCAGTTGATTAGCATCCGCAACTGTTTAGTATGACCCTTGTTTTCACCACCAGTGCATCTCTCCACCCAAGACTAAAATAAAAACAAGAAGCTGGCCCTGAACCCCACCTGGACCGGCCAAGTGCCCCTGCTACGTCCTACAGTAGAAGCCAGAAGGTTGGAACATCATTTTCCTCATGCTCGTCCCCCCCAAAAAAAACGAAGGTGGACTCGGTCTTCGCCTTTCGCGCTGCGGTGGCCACGCTCTCCATGAAGCACGCGGAGGCGAGGAGTCCTCTTTTCCTTTTTGTTTGGTGGCCCAAAGAAAGGCTCCATGTGCCCATATAGCAGATCCTTAAGCCTTAAAGGGGTCCCTAGAGAGGTACTTTAAGGCCTAAGTATTTGCTATGTGGGTACATGGAGCCTTAGGGTAAGGGGTCTCCGGGTTTTAGCGTTTAATGATTAGGTTTAGTATTTACGTCGGTAGTTTAGTCTAAGGCCCTTTAGGGTGCGAGAATTTAGGGGTGGTCTAGAGCCTGTTCAGATGGATGTTTCGGGTTTATCAGAGGTTTGCTTTGAAGGAAGGATCCCTACAACTGTTCCCTAAGGCTCCATGTACCCAAAAAGCACGGCCTGCACCCGAATGTAGACCTCCTACTTGGAGGATCAGGGGACTTAGTAAGTTGGGTTATAAGAACGCTAATTTGGGTTATACGTAATTATAGGTATGGTTACCGTAATTATAACCCTAGTTACTAAGTCCCATGATCGGATCCATATTAACAGACTTTCCTCAGAAGCCCTCCAATCAAGGGGGTAGCCTTTTGTCCATTTGTCACAAGAGATACCACCGTCAAAAAACAACGGGTCTGGCGGACCTCGCTTCACTCCTGGTGCAAATGCTGAGTTGGGGACTGTGACCATAAATCCGGGCCCTAAATCTACACCCCTAAGGCTCCATGTACCTTTATAGCAGATACTTAAGCCTTAAAGGGGTCCCTCTATAGGTACTTTAAGGCCAAAGTATATTATATGGGTACATGGAGCTTTTGGGAAAGGGTTCCTACAAGCGCACCCTAAGGGTTTAGTGGTTGAGGCTCCCCTTTTGTGGCTAGCAGATGTTCGGTTCCAATTCTGTTGGGTTTCTATTTGGGAGTTTCCGAAAATACGGGGGCCCTAATATAGTAATTACCCCAAATAATGGGATCCTTATATTATAAGGACCCCCCAAAACAGGTACCCCTAATTTTCGGAAACTCCCATTTTGCCTCGTGATGAGGGTTTAGGGTTCAGGACTTAGCATCTGTTGTTTGATGAAGGCGTCGGCCACCACATGGAGAGCACGACAAGTAGAATCAGGCCAACAAAGGCACCGACGACTCTAATCGCAACGCAAACTCAAAGCCTATCTCCTACACCCTCCATAAGGCTCCATGTACCCATGTAGTATATACTTAAGCCTCACAGCGGTACCTATATAGGTACTTTAAGGCCTAAGTATATACTAGATGGGTAATTACATGGAGCCTTAGGGCCTAAACCCCTACGACCTGAACCCGAAGCGCCGCTAAATCCTGACACGCCTCCAGGAAGGGCTGGTTGACAAAAGAACATTTTTCATTTTTGAAATCTGACTGGGTAGTAATGCTGTTATGCATTGCTCCTCATTGTTTCGATGATATGTCCCCTCCCCCTCCCCCAGAATCCCATTATGTTGTTCAAGCCCTCCTGTTCATCCCTAGAAAGCCTTAACCACGACCAAGAGCTCCACAAAAACGAAAAACTAGTGAGCAAGACCCTTCAATTACATCCCTAGTAGACCTGCCAATCTTTAAATCCTAAACCCCTGAATTTGTGGAGGCCTCGGCCAAGGGCGATTTTCAGCACAGATTCACAGCCGGCTGCGGATGAGAATCTTTGGTGACTGTCATCTTCGCCACATGGCGCTGCTTGGCCTAAAGAAGTCAGTGCTCACTATGCCTCTTGTCATCTTCATTTGTCATTCCGCAATATGTGCCGTGACCCTTTTTCCAGTTTTTACGGCCCCTGTATTTAGCTTGGTTTGGTGTGTAGGGTTGAACTGTATACGGTCTCAATGACTATGTACGCGATGTGTTTGACGCCTATATTGTACTGTGTAGGTGCTCATGACTGTGGCCCAGACTTGAGTACTGCCCCCAGTTAGTAACAGTTGAATAATATTCTAAGATAGGCATATTAGGACCGCAATAGTAGCCCTATTATAGACTGATGCTGTCCCTAAACCTTAAATTCTAAACCCTAAACTCTAAACCCTAAACTCTACACCCTAAACCCTAAACCCTAAACTCTAAACCCTAAACTCTAAACCCTAAACCCTAAACCCTAAACTCTAAACCCTAAACTCTAAACCCTAAACCCTAATTAAACCCTAAACCCTAAACCCTACCCAAACCCAGACGTAATGGCAAGTCGAGGACAGGTGCTCGTTCTTGCAGCGGAACCGCCACTGATTATCGCTCCCATAGGGTCCAGGTATCATCCTGGTATAGACTTATAGGTTAGGAGCTGCCCCCACCCTGTAATAGTGGTATAATAGGAATATAATAGGGCCCTAATATAATCCTATAAAATCCTTATAGTCACTATTACAGGCTGGGGGCAGCTTCTAAGGTATATACTTATAGGGCATTTTGGGGGTCTAAGTATGTCCCATGATGATACTTGGACCCTTTGGGGCTTATGCTCGGTCGAAACTTCCATCCTGGTTACTCATATGGCGGTGGGAGCGTGGTATGGCAATCTTTACTGTATGGAATGCCTGCGACTATTCCTAGTGCGGCTATGCATACCAAAGCCCGGCTGATTCTCGGCTAACACGATTTAAACTAGTATTGATGTCAGCAGTGTTGTCACCGCCCTGATTTGTAGACTCGCTTTTGACCAAAACTTCTTGCGCCACTCTCTTTGTTGATCAGCTGTGCTTGCGAGTGGCTGCAGGATATATATTAACTGACTGAGCTGCATTTCATTTGGACCGCCCGGAAAAGCACCAGAAGCGCATGTAAGCCAACTACTGTCTTTCTCTCTCCGATTTGTCGACAGTAGCACGGGTGCCTGAGTGACAGCTGTAGCACGATGCTTCTTGGCTTCTCTGCGATTCATGACGTCGTCGCTTTGTTCTCACGTTCCCTTTGTCACCTCGGCCATGTGTCGGATCCGTGATCGCAGCACACAAGCCTGAATGATTACCTTACCCTCCAATACCCCTCCTCAGGGTGCCGCTTTATACTTAATTCTCGCGTGTCCTATGATATACCCCAACTTGTACCCCCAATACCCTCTCCAATGACCCTAAGGCTCCATGTACCCATACAGTAGATACATTGGCCTTAAACTACCTAATTACATAGGGACCCCCTTGAGGCTTAGGTATATACTATATATGGGTACATGGAGCCCTAGAGTGATTAAGGCCGCTACATGGCCAGCTGCGACGGTCTGTTGCGCAGAAGGCCCTGCGACATCCTTCGGGGAGCGGGGCCAGAATACTCCTGACACACAAGACGTAAACCCCGAAGCCCTAAACTCAAAATATCTAAGGCCCTCAACCCTAGACCCTAGACCCCGACCGAACCATCCCGAAACCTTCAAACACGATACCCCAAACCCGAAACCTTAAGCTGCGACAGCTCCGACAGCTCCTACATTCACCAGTAAGAAGGCGCAACGATGCACTTCGGGCCGCTTGCTGCACCAGCCGAAGTACCCTCCAGCACCGTCATATCGACTAGCCCGGCACCTGGAGCCAAGTTTCAGGTCTGTGACTTGGGGTACTTGAAGGATCATGGGACTTAGTAGCTAGAGTCATAATTAAGGTAACTATACTTATACCTACTTACAACCCCAATTAAGGTACTTATAACCTAACTTACTAAGTCCCCTGATCCTCCAAGTATGGGGCCCCACCCAGGCTTTCAGTCTACATACTCAAGCCATCCCAAACTGGCGACCCTAACGCCGTAAACCCTAAACAGTAAACCCCAACCGGGTTGAGGCCGTAGGATATCTGGGTTCATGGGATTGGCGATTGGGATGATGGAGTTTGCAGTGTTGAGGGTTTAGGGCAGTGAGGTCTGTTGTGATTTGTATTGGCCTCTTCGGGATTTACAGGCGTCTAGAGGGTCACCCGGTCTCGAGCTTTCCAGTGGAGACCTTAGCGCCTGAACATACGTGAGTTTTTGGGAGGGTGTCTTCCTGGATTCAGAGATGGGGCGACTAGAGTGTTGGTTCCATGATTGGTAAGGCCGGGGGCTTATACGTGGTTCAGGGTCCCAGCTGCGCAGAAAGTTGTGCAGGATGTGCTGTTGGGAATGACTCACTTCGAGCATGAATGCAAAGCTCCATGCCACAGGTTCAACAGCTTGTGGTGGCCACTGTCAGAAACCGATCTCTGACATGGAAGATTTGAATAATTACGGAGGCCTGAATCCTGGTATTATTCCTGAGTGCCCCTTATATTGCCCTCATGCTATATCCCCACACAACGCTACTATAGGGGCTCAATACTATTTTGGGGGGTTCCTTGGGCGCCAAAACCCTATTCTAAATGTTAAGGCCCGTATATTCCTCTAATTATGAAAACCCCTGCATGAAATCTGAGACTCCCCGAAGCCGGAGACATTAGAGTCTGCAGCAGATTCCTGCAAATAAGAGCATTCCCTACACTCTGTCGGATGATGGAGAATGCTTTCGGCTCGCCGGCATCTTCGAGCCACAGTGGTGACGAGACTCATGCCCTCTGGCGGCTTTGGGGAGCGACTCATGTGCTGCTGTAAACGCAAGAACGACGGAGTTTTTTTGTGCTTTCGAAGTGATAAACCAGGGTGCATTCAAACGACGGGTAAGGCATCTGTGAGGATGCGGCGGCGTGTGGCATCACGCCATGTCGGACCATGTGGTATCATGATGTGGTGTGTGATTTCAGTGGATGTGGCATGGCACGGTGTGATGTGCATGCGCGCGGTCTCTCTGTGTGTGTGCGCGTGCTTTTTGCCGGTTTGCGTGCACGTGCTTGGCAATGTGGAGGATCGGGTGGATTGCATTGACGCCTGAAGCAGTAGTTCCTCAGTCAAGGGCTAAAGGGATTGGAAAGTGTGACTGTGCAAAGACAAGCTAGGTTGAAGCGGAAGTGCGCCCTGGACCCTAAACAAAAAAAGCCAAAAACACAGGAACGGTTGATGATATTAATCCTGCATTACTTTAATGACCCTAGACTATGGGAATTATGGAATATTCCATATTATGGCTAGAGCAGGATTTATATCATCAACCGAATCAACAAAGGACGCTGATCCGCTGCTGGTGCCAAGAGACTGGGCTCTCCTTGGATCTTTCTTGTTGCCACAATATATCGGCTTTTGGGTGTAATCGGCTTGAGGGTTAGGGGTTTAGGGTTTAGGGTTTAGGCTTGAAGGTTTAGGGGTTAGGGGTTTAGGGTTTAGGCTTGAAGGTTTAGGGGTTAGGGGTTTAGGGTTTAGGCTTGAAGGTTTAGGGTTTAGGGTTTAGGGTGTAACGGGCCATAACCGGCCCATGCTGAACTCATAAACCCTCTCGAAACGCTCTTACGTCCACGAACCCGAATGAAGCATTCACCGCAAACATCCTCAGGCGATGGTCCCATCCCGATCTTGGCAATCAGCGGAGAAGGTGTTGGATGTTACCTGGAAGAGGACCTCACCTAAATCCTAATCCCCTCAACCCTGAACCCTACATGCCCCAAACCCCTCAACCCTAAACCGTAAAAGCCTGAACCCCTGAACCCCTAAATCTCGATGCCCGAACCCCTAAGCCTAAACCCCCGAAGCCAAACAACCCTAAACCCTACACCAGCCGGAGCCAAGCCATCAGACCATGCAAGACATCAGGGGAACCTCTTCTGGAGATCCAATTGCCGCTGCTACTGCTTCCGTTGCTGCTGTTGTTGCTGTTGCTCGTCCTGCTGCTGCTCTTGCTGTCGCTGCTGTTGTTGCTGCCCATGTTGCTGTTGCTGTTGCTGTTGTTGCTGTTGCCTTTGCTATTGCTGCTCTTGCTCGTCTTGCTCTTGCTCCTGTTCTTACTCTTGCTCTTGCAGTTGGCAGTTGCTGTTTCTGCTGCTGCTGTTGCTGTTGTTGGTCTGTTGCATTGTTGCTGTTGTTGCTGTTACTGTTCCTGCTGATTCTGTGGCTGCTGCTGCGGCTGCTGCTGTTGCAGTTGCTGTTGCTGTTGCTCTTGCTGCTGATGCTTCTGCTGTTGCTGTTGCTGCTGCTTCTGCTGCTGGTGCTGCTGCTCTTGCTACTGATGTTGCTGCTGTTGCTGTTGCTACCGCCGTTGCTGGTGCTGTCGTTGGCGTTGCTGCTGTTGTCGTCGTCGTCGTGGGTAGTGGTGCTGGTGCTGGTGCTGGTGCTGTTGCTCTTGCTGCTGCTGCGGCGGCGGTGGTGATGGCGGTGGTGGGTGGTAGTGGAGGTGGTTCTTGTTCGTTTTGTTCGTCTTGTTGCTCTTCTAGTCGTCATCGTCGCCGTTGTCGTGGTGTTACAATGTTGTCGTCGTTGTCGTTGTCGTGGCTGTCGTCGTCGTTGCAGTTGTTGTCGTTGTCGTTGTGATTGTTGTCGTTGTGGAGCTGGTTCTCGTCCCTGTCACCTTCGTTACTCTTAGTATGTCTCAGTACTCGTGCCATTGCTGTTCTCATGTTTGATCTTTTTAGTGGCATTGCCATTGCTGTCCTTATCGCATGCTCTTGCTACTGACATCGCTAGCAGTCACTTTCTCTAGCCGAACACCAAGATGTCTAGTAGGGTTCTTGTCAAAATTAGGGTCCCTATTTGGGTACCCTAAATATAAATATTCGGTGCCGTATTGTAATAAGGACCTAAACCCGAAACCCTAAACTCTAA